CACGATTAACACCTTGAACGCGCACCTGTCGTGTTCTTTGAGTCATCGTTTAAAAGATTTCTTGAAATAATAAAATAAAAGTTATTTTTTGTTTTGACTCCTTTTAAAAATTTTCTTTTAAATAAAATACAAAAACGATACACACCAAAAAATAAAGAAAGTAAAGAAAGGTGGAAAAGATGAAAGAAAGTTTGCGAAATCCTTTATTTATTTTCCAAGAAACAAAAGTTGGCCAATGAACAATCATCGACGATCAACTTACGTCATTCGTAAATAAAATCCTAATTAGAATGTTTTATTTTTTATTATTAATATATTTAAAATAAATTTTAATAAAAGATTATTGAATCCTATTCCCAATTAAATTTCAATACCTTAATAATATAAGAAGGTTAAAGAAAAAATTTCTTTTTTAAAAATTGACTTGCAATGAATACATACCAACTGAACGACAAGTAACTAACGTTATTGTGAAAATGTCCTCATATGCTCGCGATGTTATCCCAGCGATTAATCCTGAACCCTTCAAACATTCAACACCAAGCCCATCTTTTGATCCAATAATATCGGTGATTTTATGTCGTGTTTCTTCTTCCTCAACAATTTCTTCCGCGATAACAGATTTCCTTCCATTTTGATGTAATTGCTTATATGTCTCCGAATCAAGATAAAGATATTTGATACCTTTGCTTGGATTTCCTTTATCAATCTATGCTACGTTAAAATGATTCATAACTTCTTCCGCCAATCTAATCCTTGCACCAGAATTTGCTGCCAAGTATACTCTAGGTATTCCCAATGATCTTGCCAATTCGGTTGGTTTGTAGAAAAATTGATCTTCTAAAGGACCATAAAGATCCAATGTGATATGTGATATCATTTGCAATCACGATAATCTTTCTACCTTTGGGATATTCGGGGGGAGGTAAAAAGAGTAAAGATCCATGCAACCATACCAAATGAATTCGTTCCTGAAGCTCTCTCCATTCTTGTAAATTATTATTCTCGTCAAGCACAAGTTCTTTGGCTTCCAAAACATCACTAGGACATTCAAGGTTTGAACTATGATGAGATGCACGATTCCATAGTATTCTAATAGCTTGACAAAATAATTCGGGAAAATCGTAAGCGTAGGTGGTACACATTAAATGATCCTTATAACGCCTTGGTTGAAGCCATTCTTTTGTTGGGTAAGGTGGGTTCCAGCTTTCACGTTCTGTCTTCACCCTCCTGATAAATTTCTACTTTACAACGTACCCAGAGACGTTATTAATGATGACACTTAAAGGATAACTTGTTACTAATGTAGGGTCTTCAACTTTGAAACGAACTCCGGCTCCGATCACACGCAACCTCCATAATCTTTTGCCGCGCCGATTAATAAATCCTTTAACAGCTTCCTCAACTCGTTTTGGTTCTAACACAAATGTTGGAATGAAATTTATAAATAAATGATTGCAGTCAGAATTCTTATGTTCTGAACTAACGATCCAAAATCTAATTCAATAACCTGTAGGACTCCGAGATTAGATAATCCGCCGTACGCACGCTATTTCGCAACCGATCAGGATCGAATGAAGAATATACAATCTGAAGTATTTTCTTTAACAAC